ATAATGCCAACACTGTTAACTAAAAACCTGGATGCTTTTATGTGGGTGTTGCGAGCCCAGTTCGAAGACCGGAATGCCGGGCCCAAGGCCCTTAAGCAGGATAGGTGATCGGTGAGGGAATACTCCTCTGAATTTAAGCTACACACAGCCAAAGTGCAAACCTGGCCTGATCCTGTGTTGGTGGAACTGTACAGAGTGGGGCTGAATCCCGAAATACGGGAGACGGTCCTGAGGGCGGTTGACCCAGTATTCCTCCCAGCCTGGATGCAAGAAGCGGAGAGTGCAGAAACCCACCTGCACACCCTACGCTTGGACATCGCGATGGCAGGAGGTCGGCCTACACCCCAAGCGACGAAGGGGAAACCGATGCGGCAGGTGGAATCGTCCCGGGAGCAGCACATGCGGCAAGGGCTCTGCCTGAAGTGTGGGGAGCGGGGCCATTTCACGGCCAACTGTGGCGGGATGGGGCCCGGGAAACAGGGGCCAAGTGAACCAGTGAAAGTGCGCCCTGCCACGCCCACGAAAAAGCCAATTGGAAAGCCAAAATATGCCAAAGCCCTGCAGGCAGCTCCCGAAGAAGGAGGCAGAATCCAACGGAGACGACCCCGAGCCGGCGGGAAATGGATTTGTCCTGCTGTAAGAGGTGCGGAGCAGCAGGGCCTGGTCCCGGAGGTGCCTAATGTGGTAGCAGTTTTCCCTCCCTGTTTTTTGTGACTGTGGCTTTGATTAACCCCAGCCTCGGAACGCATATACGGGTGAGAGCCCTAATTGACTGGAGGTGTGGGAGGGATCTGATCAACTCCTCCCTGGTTATGGGGTTAGAGGCTGGGGTGGTGAAGTTGAAAGACCCCGATATTTACACAAATGGATGGCTCTACAATGAAAGACCCGTGTGAGTACGAGACTGTACCATTGCGGATTGGGGCGGGGGATCACTGGGAGAACAGAGCATTCGTGATCATCTCAGCCGCCAGGTTCCCCCTAGTCCTCAGGGCCCCGTGGCTGCACGGGCACCATCCCTACATCTTGTGGGACGAAGGGAAGGTACAGTTCATTTCACCTAAGTGCCAGGGCCACAGTTGGAACTCGTAATGGGGCCAGCAGCCTATAGCAGAAGGCCCTAGAGTGTGTCTAGCTCAGGATGAACTGCTCGTCATTCCCCCCCCCGAGTATCGGGATTTGGCTAGGGTGTTCGAGGAGGAGGAGGAAGATGAACTCCCCCCGCATAGACATTCAGACTGTAGCATCGAACTGTTGCCGGTGCAGAAATTACCCAAGGGGCGTATTTATTCAATGAGAGCGGCTGAAAAGGAGGAACTGCGCAAGTTCATAGACAAGAACTTATCCCGTGGGTTCATCCGACCGGCCTCATCCCCCTACACGGCCCCGGTACTATTTTGAAAGAAAAAGGATGGGGGGCTACGACTCTGCACGGATTACCGGGGCTTAAATGCAGTGTCTTCCACTGATGCCTATCCCATGCCTTTGATTAAAGACTTGCTCACTGAAGCGGCAAAAGGAAAAATCTTTTCCAAGCTGGACCTTCGAGATGCCTACTTTCGGGTGCATATCAGGGAAGGGGACGAGCATAAGACCGCTTTCAACACCCCCCTCGGCCAGTTCGAATACCGGGTGATGCCCTTCAGCCTTCAGGGGCCCCCGGGGGTCTTCATGAACCTGATCAATGAAGTGTTGCACAAGCACTTATTCAAGGGGGGTGCTTGTTTACCTAGATGATATATTGCAGTACTCCCCCGATCTACATTCACACGTGAAATTGGTGAGGGAGGTCTTAACCACGTTGCACAAGCACAAACTGTTTGCCAAGCTGTCAAAATGTGAATTTCACAAAACGCACATTGACTTCTTGGGATATCGGATCTCTGACCGGGGACTAGAGATGGACCCGGGAAAAGTTCGTGACGTGTTGGGTTGGGTTGGGAGGTGCCCCGAACCCGACGACAGCTCCAATCCTTCCTCGGTTTTGCGAACTTCTATAGAACCTTTTTACCCAATTTCGCCCAGGTCAGCTTACCCCACACAGATCTGCTAAAACCTAAGGGGAGGGGCCCAGAGGCTACTAACCTGAGCGCCACGCTGCCATGGAGTAAAGAGTGTCAGGAGGCGTTCGATTGCCTCAAAGCCTTATTCACCTCGGAACCGGTTCTTGCCCACCCCGATGAAACGAAAAAATTTGTACAAACTGATGCGTCTGATGTTGCCATGGGGGGCGATTTTGCAAGAAGGGGGGGATGGATTGTTGCATCCCTTAGCTTATGTGTCAAGGAAATTCAATGACACGGAACGTAACTGGTCAGTATGGGGAAAGGAGGCAGGGGCAATAAAGCTTACCCTATCCATGTGGAGACATTGGTTGGAGGGGGCGAGGGTCCCATTCGAGGTGTGGACTGATCACAAGAACTTAGAAACTCTCAAAACACCTCGATGCCTCAATGCCAAACAACTCCGGTGGGCTGATTTCTTTTCAAAGTTTCAATTCACCTTGCACCATTTCCCGGGTTCTGCAAACTCTCTGGCTGACGCCCTGTCCTGCCTACCCCAACACGACAGCCAACAAGAGGTGGTATTGGACTCAGTGTTCACACCCTCACAGCTGGGCGGGGCGGTGACAACTTGCAGCCAGTCCCGCCTAACCTCCCCACCCCCTGTGACGGGGCAGCCGGCTCCTCCTGGGACGGGGGCGGAGGGAAAAAACACTTGGCACAGTAAGTTCGCTTCCGCCCTGTTGGAGGGGGGAAAAGCCATTCTTGAAGCAGAGGGGAATTTTGAACTGCGGGAAGATGGTTGTTGGTACCAGGGACATAAGCTATTCATTCCCCTTTCGCTCAGGGGGGAGGTGTTACAGGCAGTGCATGGCTCCAAACTGTCTGGACACTCGGGATTCGTTAAATCCCTCCAACTACTCCAGAGACAGTTTTGGTAGCCACAAATGCGCAAGGATTTATCCTCCTTTGTTCAGTCGTGCCAAATCTGCACCATGAGTAAACCCAGGCCGGGGAAAACCCCGGGACTGTTACACCCGCTTCCTAATCCAAGTCGACCCTGGGAAGTCATCTCCATGGATTTTATCACTGACTTGCCACCGAGCAAATCAATGACTGTGGTTTGGGTGGTAGTGGATCTATTTTCTAAGCAAGCACATTTCATTCAGTTCGCTTCACTGCCCACGACTAAAATCCTGGCAAAAGCATTTCTCCTGCACGTGGTGAGGTTGCACATGCTCCCCACCAAGGTGGTCTCCGACCGGGGGACCCAGTTCGTCTCCCGGTTCTGGGGGGAGCTAATGAAACTGATGGGGGTGGAACGAGGCCTTAGCAGCGCTTACCATCCAGAAACCGATGGCCAGACAGAAAGAGTTAATCAGACTTTGGAACAATATCTGCGTTGTTTTGCCAACTATCAACAGGACAATTGGAATGACTTGTTGCCCCTAGCCGAATTCTGTTATAACAATACTTGTCACTCTTCCACGGGGATGTCCCCGTTTAAGGCATTGTATGGTTATGACAGCCCGCCTGTCCCATTTCTGGAAGGGGATACGGACATGGGGCCGGGGGATGCTGCTCAATGGTGTAAACAATTACGGGACTCTTGGCCTCTCCTGTGTAAGACTTTGACAGCTGCCAAAGAAGCGTACAAAGCGCAGGCTGATAAGAGAAGGGTGGAGGGTTGGGCTCTACAGCCTGGTGACTCTGTGTATGTCTTTACTAAGAATATCAAGATGTTACGGCCAAGCCAAAAATTGGGATGGAAATACATTGGGCTGTTTAAGGTTAAAAGATTCATCAATGATGTTGCTGTAGTGTTGGACTTGCCTAAAAATTTGAGAAAATTGCATTCTGTATTTCATTTCAGCCTCCTGAAGAGAGATTCGGGTTCCAGCCCCAGCGTCCATTGAAACCAGTGCCCCCTCCTATCATGATTGAGGGCGAGGAGCATTATGAAATCTCTAAGATTCTGGACTCTAAGATCAAACGGGGAAAGTTGATGTATTTGGTTGAGTGGGTGGATTTCGGACCCCAGCACCTCGAATGGGTGGAAATAGGGGATATTCAGGCCCCTGGACTGTTGCGACAGTTCCACCGCGACTTCCCGGACAAACTGGGAGATCTCCCGGAGGAACCGGGGGACCTCCCGGAATGGTCGGGAGAAGCTGATTTTAGAGAGGGCAGTATGTCAGCTACGCTGCCGTGGGGGTTGGGGAGCTCGGTCTGTGTCTAGTTAATTGCTATTGCATTCCTTTCTGTGCTTGTTCTGCTTTGCGCCAAAATGCTTATCTATACAGATGTGCAGGAGGGAGTTGTATTGTCTGGGTTTTTCCTAGATTCCGTGGGAGAGTGTTGGTTCTCAGCTTTAGCTACCTAACGGTCTCCAAGCTTTATCCTGCGCACGGGAGGGTGCCTAATTGGCCAGTGCTCGGGGGTGGTGCATACGAATACCCTATATCCTATTATGCCCATTGGGCAGCCGCCATTCTTAGCAGTGCTTATGTTACTGCATCTATAGCTCTGCAATAAAAGTATTACCGTTCCTGAATGCGTGTACTTCGTTGTTGGCTGTGGGTTCTGACACTGCTGTTCTTTATACAGTTTATATCTTTGGTACCTGGCATTATGTTTATGGCACGCATGGTCTGGCCCAACAAAGTGACATTTATGCCAGCTCTGGCCCGCGTAATGAATGAGTTCGACACGTCTGTTCTGAGCATTCAGAAGGAGTCTCCCCGTGTGTTTTTGTTTTTGAAGATCACAACTCTGATCCAGCTCTGGCCCGCGTAATGAATGAGTTCGACACCTCTGTTCTGAGCATTCAGAAGGAGTCTCCCCGTGTGTTTTTGTTTTTGAAGATCACAACTCTGATGAATAAATCTCTTTTCACACTCTGAGCATTCAAAAGTTTTTTCCTTGGCGTGGGTTCTTAGATGCGGTTGAAGAGTGACACGACAGTTGAATGTCTTTCCATACACTGAGCATTCAAAAGCTTCTCCTCTGTGTGGGTTCTTTGATGTTGTTGAAGACTGTCACTCCGACTGAATCTTTTTCCGCACTCTGAGCACTCAAAAGGTTTCTCCCCTGTGTGGGTTCTTTGATGCTGTAGAAGATTGCCACTCTGACTGAATCTCTTTCCACACTCTGAGCACTCAAAAGGTTTCTCCCCTGTGTGGGTTCTTTGATGCTGTTGAAGATTGCCACTCTGACTGAATCTCTTTCCACACTCTGAGCACTTAAAAGGTTTCTCCCCTGTGTGAGTTCTTAAATGCTTGTGAAGATGGCCTTTCTGGTTGAATCTCTTTCCACATTCTGAGCATTCAAAAGGTTTCTCCCCTGTGTGGGTTCTTTGATGCTTTAGAAGATTGCTACTGTGACTGAATTTCTTTCCGCACTCTGAGCATTCAAAAGGTTTCTCCTGTCTATGGGTTCCTTGATGCCGCTGAAGATGGTAACACCAACTGAATCTCTTTCCACATTCAGAGCATTCAAAAGGTTTCTCCTCTCTATGGATTCTTTGATGCTGTTCAAGATTGCGGCTCCTACTGAATCTCTTTCCACACTCAGGACATTCAAATAATTTCTCACCAGTGTGCGTTGTTAGATGCTTCTGAAGGTCACAACTCTGACTGTATTTCTTCCTACACACTGAGCATTCAAAAGGTTTCTCATTTGTGTGGGTTCTTAGATGTCTTTGAAGGTCACAATTTCGTCTGAATCTCTTTTGACACTTTGAGCATTCAAAAAGTTTCTCCCCTGTGTGGGTTCTTAGATGCTGTTGCAGATGGCCACTTTGACTTAACCTCTTCCCACACTCTGAGCATTGAAAAGGTTTCTCACCTCTGTGGGTTCTTTGATGCCGTCGAAAATTGCTACTGTCACGCAATCTCTTTCCACACTCGGAGCACTCAAAAGGTTTCTCCCCTGTGTGGATTCTTAGATGCTGTTGAAGACTGCAACTGTGACTGAATCTCTTTCCACAGTCTGAGCATTCAAAAGGTTTCTCCCCTGTGTGGGTTCTTAGGTGCTGTTGAAGACTGCATCTGTGATGGAATGTCTTTCCACACTCTGAGCATACAAAAGGTTTCTCCCTGTTGTGGGTTCTTAGATGCTGTTGAAGATTGCCACTTGAACTGAATCTCTTTCCACACTCTGTGCACTCAAAAGGTTTCTCCCCTGTGTGGGTTCTTAGATGCTGCTGCAGATGGCTACTCCGCCTGAATCTTGTTCCGCACTCTGAGCATTCAAAAGGTTTCTCCCCTGTGTGGATTCTTTGGTGCACAAGAAGCTGTGATCTGTATTTAAAGTACTTTCCACACCGAAAGCATTTACATGCCTTGATTACACTGTGCTTTGGAAAATGTACATTACGCTTTTTCTCATCAGAGAACGCCATTCCAGTCTCTGTGCAGATGAATGGCTTCTCTTGTGAATGAATCGTTTGGTGTTTGATAAGGTCTGATTGCTGTGAGAAACTCTTGCCACAGTCTGAGCTTTGGTGTTTAATAAGGTCTGATTGCTGTGAGAAACTCTTGCCACAGTCTGAGCACCTATACTGTTTCTCTCCTGCATGTGTTTGTTGATGTATTTGGAGCTCTGCTCTACAAAGGAAGCTCTTTTTACACTCCAAGCATTGATGGATCTCCTTTGCACTGTGCATTCGCAAATGGATATTATATTGGGTTTTATCTGAGAAGCTCATTGCACACTCCAAGCACTTGTATATGTCCTCCACCATGTGAATTACTTCATGGGAATCCCTCCCTTGGCAAGGTACGGGTTGATCCCTCTTCTCGTCCATGTGGCTTCCTTTCTGCCTCTTATGTCTGCCTTGTTTCCTGAGGTTTCGCCTCATGTCTTCATTCCTGACTTCAACTGGCAGTTGCTGATGAAGTCCCTCACCCTCCTCATTCATCTGATCATCCCCTGCTGGAATAAAAAGAGAGATCCCATTAGATCCTGGGAGGGCAGGGAAGGTCCAAAGGCATCTCTGTCACTGCAGCAGGAAAGGATTGATGGCCCTTTGGCCTCATCCGATTGGCTGATCTTAACTAACCCCCCCAACTTTCCCACAGAATATCCAGGATTGAAGGATACCACAGCCCCTCAAGACGCACAACTGAGTTTAGGCTCAGAAGCTCCTCCAGATTTCAGGTCCCAGAAGGCATCCTTCCCTCCTAACCCAGTGGGCTTTCTTATTCTACCGAACCAAGACTTGGCAAGAAGAAAAGCAGAAACTCGCCATTCCTATTCCTTGTCCATTCCTTTGACATAACTCTGAAGGATACCCACTTGCGGCCAGCTCATTTTGGAAGGAGATACCCTCTTGTGAAGCAAAGTACCACAGTTTCCTCTAAAGTGTTAATGTGGATATTAAGCCTGCTTCGGCCTGCAGGTGTCTGTAATTGGGCCACCCTGCGTACATCATCCTCACCCTCCTCATTGAGAGCCAGTTTGGTGTAGTGGTTAGCAGTGCGGACTATAATCCGCACTGTTTTGATTCACCACTCCTCCACATGTAGTCAGCTGGGTGACCTTGGACAAGCCACAGTTCTCTTAGAGCTGTTCTCTCAAGAGCAGTTCTCAAAGAGCTCTCTCAGCCCAACCTATCTCACAGGGTCTGTTGTGGGGAGAGGAAGGGAAGGAGACACTGAGTGAAGGGCAGGGTATAAATCCAATCTCCTCCTCGTCCTTCTCTTTCAAGGCCTGATTCAAGAATGTGGTAACTGGCCCATCATGGGAACCTGTGTTCAACTTTGTAACTAGGCCTGGTGGAACATGCCTCCACCAGAGATTAGGGCCCTGAGCAGGGGCGGATTAAGTCTCACTGGTGCCCTAAGCACTGACCAATCTTGGTGCCCCCAATCTTGGTGTCATAGCCTATGACACTGCACCTCGCCAACAAAAAATAGAAGATAACCCTAGGGTGCACCATGATCAATGTGCACTAGTTTTTATCTATTATTATTATTTTTACAAATCTTCATTCTTTTTTTCCTCCCTTTTCACCCTTTTCCCAACTTTGTGGTGCCCCCTTTGGCCCTGGTGCCCTAAGTATGTTTTTAGTCTGCTTAATGGTGAATCTGCCCCTGGCCCTGAGGGATTTGAAGCTACCATCTCACATGGCCCAGGTTAAAAAGTCTGAGAGACCAATGGCACCAGCTGGAAACCCCTTTGTGAGGATAAATAGTGCACCCTGTTTCAATTCATGTTGTTTCAAGGTAAAGGTAAAGGTAAAGCTTCCCTTGCTTGAAAGCCAGTCGAATCCGACTCTAGGGTTGCGGTGCTCGTCTCCGTTTCAAAGCCGAAGAGCCAGCGCTGTCCGAAGACGTTTCCGTGGTCATGTGGCTGGCATGACTAAATGCCAAGGCGCATGGAACGCTGTTACCTTCCCACCGAAGTGGTTCCCTATTTATCTACTTGCAATTTCTTGCTTTCGAACGGCTAGGTTGGCAGGAGCTGGAACTAGAGACGGGAGCTCACTCCGTCATGCGGCACACTCGGGTCTCGGAACTGCTGAACTACCGACCTTCCACCGCCTGCAGTTCAGCGTCTTAACCACTTGAGCCACCGCTTATATCTATATTTTATATGTCTTAAAATGTTAATATGTTTCTGATATTGTATTGTGGTCCGCCCTGAACCCACTTACTGGGAGGACCGAATATAATTTTGAATAACAAATAAATAAATAAACAGATGGGAGGAAGGGGACAGGAGCAAAGTCATAATCTCCTAGGCCAGTGGTTCTCAATCTTCCTAATGCCGCCGCGACCCTTTAATCCAGTTCCTCATGTGGTGGTGACCCCCAACCATAAAATTATTTTCGTTGCTACTCCATAACTGTGATTTTGCTACTGTTATGAATCGTAATGTAAATATCTGATATGCAGGATGTATTTTCATTGTTACGAATTGAACATCATTAAAGCATAGTGATTAATCCCAAAAACAAGACCATCGGAAATTTGTGTTTCCCGATGGTCTTAGGCGACCCCTGTGAAAGGGTCGTTTGACCCCCCAAAGGGGTCACGACCCACAGGTTGAGAACCGCTGTCCTAGAGGGTTCATCAAGCGAGCTCCCTAATTGGATCTGGAAGACCACCTGACGCCAGATGGCAAGAGACTATAGTTAAGCCACAGACAAGAGGGAAGCCAACCTGACTTTACGTTTCGACAGGCCAGTGGTTCTGACTATGCCGAGCTCTGTTGCAACGGACAGCTATGCAGACAACGCTTGAGCCTCTACCTTGGACTCCGATACTTAAAAGGTGTGCCGTCCAATACCAGGCATTGAAGTATTAGGTAGAAAAGTTAGCTCTCTTCTTTTTATTGCTGCAAGATGGAAGAGACTGTGTTGCCTAGTAATATCTTATTCTTTGAACAATCTAATAAACCCCTGTAAGTTTGACCAAGGTCTGGTTTCTTGTGTGCTTATAGCCTTCGGGACCCACAACTCTGAGCGGTACAGGCTTGCCCAAGAGGTGGTGGCACAGAGGGGCCCAGGCTTCGGTCCTTGACACATCTTCGGAGTAAAGGCCTTTGTGTGACTCTGCCATAGTCTCTCTTAATTTCTGGCTTCGTTGGCAAAGGGGGAGAGAAAGTGAACATAGGAACATAAGAGATGCCAAAGTAGGATCAGGCCAAAGGCCCATCCAGTCCAACACTCTGTCACACAGTGGCCAAAAATACCAGGTGCCATCAGGAGGTCCATCAGTGAGGCCAGGACACTAGAAGCTCTACCACTGTTGCACACCCCCAGAGCATCCCTTGCCCCAGACCCAGACCCGATGGCTTGGGTCAGTCTACCCAGCCGTGCTGAACGTTGTTATCACTGCCACCCCAACTCCTCGAGACTGTGCGATATTTTGATCCCTGCCTCTTTGCAACGGCAGCAGTTTGCACCTTCGGCACCTATGAAAGATCCTTACCCAGAGAGGCCACGCTCCCGTAGTTCTCCAGCATGACTTCCCTGTAGAGAGCTCTTTGGCCCGGAGCCAGCAGGGCCCACTCGGCCTCCGTGAAATACACGGCCACCTCCTCAAAGGAACAGGGACGCTGGAAGAAAAAGCAGATTCCCTCGTCAGAGAACATGCCGGGCAAAGAATGCATACCGGGAGGGGGCAGTCAGGGAGGGGGCAGGAAGTGGAGCCTGGCACGGGTAAAGGGAGTGGCACTCAGAGCCTCTTTCCCTTTCCCTTGGACACCTTAGCAGCAACTGCAGGAGCAAAAAAACCCTGAAAAAGGAGGGTAGACCTAGGCTGTGACACACCCCCCCCCCGCTCGTCTACTGTACCTGGACTGGAGGCGCAGCAGCTGTTTCCACACCTCTGCCAAGATGACGATTGAACAGCACCTGTCCACTGCCTGTGATGGAGGCAAAGGAGGAATAAAGATTCTTAGCCTAAACCCTCTTGTTCGTTGGCGTGTTTGAATCCCGCTTCGTGCACCCTCCTTCCCGGGGCTCTGAAACCCTGCCATAGGCACACCCAACAAAACTTCTAAGGTTTTTTTAAAGTAAACTGTGGGAGAGGCGGAAGAGAAGCACCAGGTAATCATGAGCTTTGGGGGCTTCTAGATGCTGCTGACATTCAGGGGTCATTTCCTGCGGGAGCGCACAGGAGCGAAGCTCCGGCAGTAAAGAGCCCAGGGGGCGGGCAGATGCAACAAGCCCCACCCCCTGCTCCCAGCAGCCCTCAGTCAGAGCAAGAAGCAGCCAGGTAAGTTGCAGAGGCCCCTCCCCGGCCCCCCGATCCAAAACAGTCCAGTGGCACCTTTAAGACATAGTTTTATTCAGGTACAAGCTCTCCCTCCCTCTGCCAGGACAGATCTACACATCCCCCCCCCATAGCTAGCAATCCAAAACAGTCCAGTGGCACCTTTAAGACCAAGCTTTATTCAGGTACAAGCTCTCCCTCCTCTGCCAGGACAGATCTGCACGTCCCCCCCTCAATAGCTAGCAATCCAAAACAGCCCAGTGGCGCCTGAGCAGAGGGTGTTGCCTTCTGACACACTTACGGTGATGTCAGGGTGTGTGGCATATGCAAATGAGTTATGCTAATGAGTTATGTTAATGAGCTCCTGCACCTCTTTTTCTACGAAATGACCCCTGCTGCTGACCAATGCTCCCTCTAAGCTGTGGAGTCTTGTGAGCAAAAATTCTACTTTGTGAGCTCCTGGCAAAGTTCAGAGTGAGCGATTTGGCTGCTGCATAAATTAGTTTCCTCTGGAGCCATCCCTTCCTGAGCAAAGACAAAAATGTGTGAGCCGGAGGCTAAAACACTGTGAGCTACCTCAAACTAACTCAGCTTAGAGGGAACACTGCTGCTGACCCATTGAAATTTCTGAGGAGGAGGAGGAGGAGAAGAAGAGATTGGATTTATACCCCGCCCTTCACTACCTGAAGGAGTCTCAGAGCGGCTCACAATCTCCTTTCCCTTCCCCTCCCCACAACAGACACCCTGTGAGGTAGATGGGGCTGAGAGAGCTCTGACAGAAACGGCTCTTGAGAGAACAGCTCTGAGAACTGAAATGAGCTCTGTGCACTCTGGAGTTCAAAAACAGGACGGCATCCCTGGTGGATCAGGCCCAAGGCCCAGGAACACCATTCTCCTGGCAGCTGGGCCCTCCCACAGGCCCTTCAGTTCTGGCTGGAAGGAGAAAAGGGGGGAGGGGCAGAAGAAATGACGTCACGAGATACGTCAGGGTTGCCACTAAAAATTTATTTTTCATTTCCCTGACTTTCCCTGACCAACATTTGTCAGTTTCCCCGACCCCCATTCAAACATAACCACAAGTTAAAAAATGAATAGGTCGTGTTGCATTAATGAAAGGCTTAATGAAATGTTCCGCTCGACAACTACACAAGTCTCAACTGCAAAAATATTTGTCAAAGTAAGAGATTTAATATCA